AAACAAATAAAAATAAAGGTATTGTGTCCAACTACAACTGGAAAAAAAATTTTAAAAACAAAAATCAGATGGTGTGTGTAGCAGCGCAATTGCCTAGCATGGTGAGGTTCTGGGATCAATCTCCAGCACCACACACACACACACACACACACACAAAAAAAAAAAAAGATAAAATTTTGTAATATTTTATACCCATTAAGTGGATGATTTAAAAAAAAAAACAGAAAATAACATATGTTGACAGGATATGGAGAAATTAGAACCCTATATCTCACTGGTGGAAGTGTAAAATGGTGCAGCCTCTGTTGAAAACATTATGGCAAAAAATCTTCAAAAAATTGAAAATTGAATTAGCTTATGATCCAGAAAACAGGTTCTCATAGAGCTATTGGTACATCCATGGTCATAGCAGCATTACCCACAATAGCTAAAATTTGGAAGCAGCACCAGTACCCACCATTGGCAGACGAACAAATAAGCAAATGTGATGTGTACATAAAGTGGAATATCATTTAGCCTTAAAAGGAATAAAATTCTTACATGTTGTATAAGATAGATGAACCTTGATGAGGTACTATGTTAAGAATCTAAAATAGCTGGGTGCTCTGGCATATGCCTATAATCCCAGTGGCTTGGGAGGCTGAGGCAGGAGTATCAAAGCCAGCCTCAGCAACTTAGTGAGGTCCTAAGCAACTCAGCAAGACCCTGTCTCTAAATAAAATATAAAAATGTGGCTCAGTGGTTAAGTGCCCCTGGGTTCAATCCCCAGTAACCCACCCCCACAAAAAAATAATCTAAAATAGATGGTCATAGAAAGTAGAAATGTAATTGCTAGAGCTAGAGGAGCAGATAATGGGTATAGAGTTTCTGTTTTGCAAGATGAAAATGTTCTGAACAACACTATGAATATACTTGACACTAGTAAACTATACACTTAAAAATGGTCAAATAGTAAATTTTGTGTTCGTATATTTTACAATTTTTATAAAAGATTAATAAGTAAAACAAAAAATGTAGCTAGAAGCTGATCACTAGAGTAACAAGTCAAACAAAACAGAAAATTTAAAATAAATAAGTGAAAAAATATGCCAGATAAATGCTAACAAAAAGAAAACATAACAATATTAATACCAGAAAAAATAGAATTAAAAGCAAAATAATTAAATGAGATGTATCTAGAGCACTTGCCTAGCATGTGTGAGGCACTGGGTTTGATTCCCAGTACAACATAAAATGAAGAAAATAAATGAATAAATAACATAAATGAATAAAATAAAGTCCATAAACATCTAAAAAAAATTTTTAAAGTACAATTCAACCAGAAGATATAAAAATTGTGAATCTCGAAGCACTTAAAAACACAGCTTCAAAAATACAATGTATAGCTAGATGTGGTGGTATATACCTATAATCCCAGCAACTTGGGAGACTGAGGCAAGAGGATCCCAAGTTTGAGACCACCCCTGGGCAATTTAATGAGACTCTGCCTCAAAATAAAATATAAAATAGAGTAGGGGGTGTAGTTCAGTGGTATAGCATATCTAGGTTCAATCCCCAGTACTACATACACAAAAAATAGAATGAATCAAAATATATACATGGTGTATACACACACACACACACACACACACAAACACACATCAGTATGCACATAGCCAATAGAAGCATAACACAAAACATGTACAAGAATCACAGTGGAAATCTTTACCACAACTCTCATAATTAATAGGTTAAATAGAGGAAAAACAAATTAGGGAGATAGAGAACATGAACTATAACCAATAAACTTAAACTTCTACTCAATTTAAGGGCACTGGGAATAGTTATAAAAACTGATAGTTCATTAGACTACAAATTGATTTATGTATATATATATATATATATATATATATATATATATATAT